ATGATTCAGAATCAAACTTGGTAGTACTATGTAGTAACGTAGTACTTATATATTCTTGCAGCTTTATTGAGACCCTTTTTTGCCAGTGACATTGAGTCATATATTAAACTTGGATTTGCGGAGCCCCTTCAAAAATACGTGGATGCTGATAGCAGCTATGGGGTCAACTGGCAAGATCCTCGGTGCTATTTTGATGAGAAAACCATGTTAAACCATGGTGACCTATAGACTATGGATATATGGCTATGGATCAATACCTATTAATACCATTTTTAATGGGATGAACATCCATTTACCAGCTATTTTGATGTTCACCAGGGGTACAAGGTTTTGACACACTGCCATATCCCCCAAGCAAAATCCTGTAGAAGGCCCCAAAAAGATTCAACAGTCACTATTCTAGAATCGGATTTTGTTGTTCTATCTTTTGGGCTGGTGATTTTCAAGGTGTGCTGCCCAGCTGCGGTTTCGCCATCCTCATTGGGCGCATCCACCGGGCATCCGCGGTCGATCAGCACTTTCAATGCATCCAGATTGAAGCAAGGCGATTCCACCGCCTGTGTGGCTCGCGGGAATTCCCGAAAAACACAAGGGTTGGTTCATAAAAGCTATAGTTACCTTAAATATATCTGTATAGTTATCAGCTGACCCCACCGACGGCAAGGGGGAGCGCGTCAGAGAATACATTACAATATCTATCGTTATCTATGTAAATACATATGCATGTATATATTATACATACATGTATTAAATACATGTAGATATAGATAGATCTATGTACATTATGTACAGTCTGTCTAGTTATGTACATATCTATTAGATTATACCCCATACTGATTCGAAGGTTGTAAAGAAGCCCACTAAACCAGTTAGCATGAGGCCATTTAAGCATCAACCAACTTGGTTGTTTGACATAATTCAATTCATTTGTAGTCCAAGAACCTGATATCCGCAATAAACATGTTCCATGAAAACATACCATGTCTATCGTTCAACTATGACTTTCGGAAAAAAAAAAAACACATTCTTCCGTAGCCTCCAGACTTGTGAAGGTTCCTTACTGTAAAGTCAGGTCTTGCCATCCCATCAACCAAACTCCCATCTGCACCGTCAAGCCCTGCTGTAATGATGTGCAGTTCCTGAAGTCTCCGTGGAATTTTGGAAACCCACCCAACTATCATATGAAGGTAGATACTTCCCCCCCGGCATTCATTCTATCCTCTATGTAATATAAGTTATATTCCGTGGTCGGGGTATTAAAAACATTCAGCCAAATATATGCCCAGTAATTATATCCAGATTATATCACCATTTGTGTTGCTTACATGTTCTTTTGTTGGTTGAATCACCATTACCCACTCAAACGTAGCAATGGAACATCATCCATTTAGTTCGATGAGTTTCGCTAGAAACCTCCATGGCTAGTTCGGGGATTTCTCAGCTGCAGCAGCCATGTTTGATGACACCGGAGGGTAACCACCCTGCATCCCTGCCATCATCAGAGCAGTTCCCACGCGCTGCGCTTTGGCCGCCGGATCCGCTTTGGCATCCAGCAGTTTGCCCAGCATCGCCGCATCGCATCGGAAGGCAGCCGGAAACCTGAGAGAGGCCTGGATTTTTCGGGTGTCCAGGATTTGTTCATGGAGAAAATCCTGGAATTCCTTGGAAAAACCCAGGAATTGTCCTGAGTTTCCGGTTAACATTTACCCTTGAACCAATTCACTCAGGTTTATATCGTTTCTGGGAAAATGGATGAACATCTACAGGAGCCTATTGCTTTGACCATGAAATGTAGAGTTTCCAGTATTTTTTCACGCGAACCAGTTCTAGGATGTGTTCAGGATGCTGTCATCACTTGGATTGGAGATAGTTTTGGGATTCACCAACAAGAAGTATCAAAAGAATAATTAAGTGGAGATGTTTTTCCATGCAAAGCAAAAAAAAATATATATTGGTTTGGTCCAAAAAAACTGCTGCCAAAAAGATGGAACTGGTCCATCTTCTTAGGGATTTGTAAATGAATGTTTGGCAACTTCAAGCAGCAAAGTTTAACCAGGTAATTACCATCTGGTTATTTAATATAGCCATGGTATAGATGGCCCATTTATAGATGGTTTACCTATTTAAAATGGAGATTTTCCATGGCAAACTGTTAGTGATAACCAGATGGTATTCCCAAAAAACTATCACCCAGACGAATGACAGGACGGTCTTTCCTTTGCTGTCAGCAATGGACGCGTTTGCTCCAGCATTCCTTACGTCCGACGCGGGAGCTGCAGCTGGAACGAGTTTTTTGGGGGGCACAAAGACCTAATGCTCAATGCTCAAGACTAAATCTGTCCCAGATGTGCAGGTCGTTGCTTATGCCCAAAGTTGTACGGCAAGAGTCAGTAAGTAGTCTATATGTCAATTTATATCAAGTACACGGCCAGGCCTTCGTAGCCAAGCTACACAGCAAAAAAAAAAAATGTTTTTAGATGTTTTAGCGGGATGTGACGCTGTGACATAGTATATACTCCATTCACAGTTCAAAAGCTTAAAGCCTTCACCTCCCATTCACCCGCGTTTCTCCAGTTAACAGTGTAATCCATGCTTTTGGGGTCCTTTGGCCAATTGGCAGATCTGGGACTTTTCGTTGCCAGGGCTCAACAGCGTGTCTGCCAGTTCCATGTGTTTCTTCTCCACAGCCTCCATCAAAGCAGTCTTGCCAACCTGTGACCTTACCCGACCGCTGTTTGAAACTGGAGAGTTTGCTGCTTCAATGGATTGGTTAAAGGGAATATCTACAGGAAACATCAGGAAACCATGGTTTTTACAAACAAACAAACATAGAGGTGTTCTTACTGGTTTCTTGCGTTTCCATCATCCAACTCTGGGAGTGTTTTTTTGCCGGTCCCCCGGCTCAAAATATGAGTACATCAATAAGTACCAGTAGGATGGAACATAAAAATTGATTTTTTTAAAAAAAAAAAAGGTCAAACCGCCGACCAGTTTTAATTGGGTATGGGTCAGTTAAGTTGGGTACACTGAAAAAATTCTACAGTTGAAACCGAACATGAGCAAAATGCGGTATCCTGGGATTGATTTTTTGACCCATACCCAGGAAATGATGACTCTCTGAATTGTGCCCACCTGTTTGATGCTGAAGACTTCCAGCTGCTGGCCATCATAGTTTGATACGGAGTTTGTTGTTACCATTATTCCAATAATGTCATTGACATTCTGGAGATATTATCTCAAATATAGTCCAATTCAAATCTTCAAGCTTGTTTCAGCCTCTCCATGTGGGTTTGTCTGAAAATACCCCAAAAGCCCAGTGTGTTTATCATCGTGTGTCCCATATTTTCCTCATTAGGTGGCCCATCAGATGGGTATACCTTGCCAGCCTGGAAGTCACTGGAAGTCACTGGAAGTCCAGCAGTGTCTCAGCCCTGAGGCTGCGGCGTGGCATTGACGTTCACCTTCAAGTCCAAGAGCTTTTGTACCTCGGCACGGCTTAGATCCTCGGCGATACATCGTTGAATCGTTGATGTACTACTAACTGGAAGATACAACTGCTGATTTGGGTCACTTTATAGCAAATATCATTCCAAATGGCAAATACTAGTTCTAAAAATTATATATACGTATATATACATATATATATATATGCATATACCAGACAGTATATGCCATTTTCATCCATTTTCATTATACTTATCCAAATTATCCCAATTGTTCCACACCCCTAGCTGAGGACGGTCCATTTCTTCGACCAGGTCACTGCCTCCATGTTGTTTTTGCTGACGGCCTGTCTCTGCAGGGTTTTATGTGTTTTCTTTTGTCTAATATATTGACTCCAATTATTTAAGACTCTTTAAGACATCATCTAATCATCTACGTGTGTGACTTTATAATGGTCTTCCTATTCCCCCTGGGTGGGTGTTCTGGCGGGCTGACGATGCGAGGTGGAGCATCGAAATGATGGGTAGCTGCTGCCCGCCAAGGTTCATTCAGAAGTCCCAACAGAGTTCAATGGCTGGTTAGTACTATGCGCAACCCCCCCAAAAAGATAGATTTTAGCACATTCCCACCAAAATAGTTGCAAAATGTTGCAAATAGCTGTTCGATCTTCTTTGGTATGATTAGAGCTAATACTGATATCCCCAATCAACATGGCAAAACCATGCAAAACCAATCGATTTACAACTTAAAGTTCTGTATCTGAAGATAGGTTTTCCTCTTGTCCAGTGACCCTGTTGCTGAGACTCTGATTAACCTTTAACAAGGGTTTGCTTACTGGTGTTTAGTAGGGAAAGGGGGAATTATCTATAATAACTATGGATAATCATCACATTCCTTCATTCCCTACGTTTAGCACCAGTACGTTTGTTACAGTACCTCACGGAATCCTGGTTCCGCCTTCATCAAAGGCGTTTGGCCGATCTTGTTCGGGACATCGGGATCCACACCTGGGAGTCTACGACACAGCTGAGCCTGTCATCAGCAAAATGTTCTCTGAATTGATTGGGTTTGTCTGAAAATAAAATAGATTATAATATATATATACATATACATACATATATAATCATATATATACAGTATATATATAGGTATATATATATATATGTGTATGTATACCCCAAAATCCAGTGATCTATCATGATCTATCATGATCTATCACCATTGTCCTTCTTAAAATGGCCAAAACTAGGGATTTAATCCCCAATTTTCCTGCCATAGAAGATATCAGGAGATGGGTCGCCTTTCCAAACCCAACCAAGAGCCATGGTGATACTCAAGCTGACAAGGTGATACAATTATATAAATCCCTCCCATTAAAACAAAACTATCTATCTACATCTCAATATACATGTGTATATATATAATATATGTACTGTGATGTACTGTGTACATATTTACTGTACATACTAACAAGCGTTAGTATGTGTATTTACATACATAATCATACATTATGAACCCCAATGATTGACCCATTGAGATCTCTCTATCGTTGGATCCCAAGTTGATTTCCAACGAAAACGCCCTGGGGCTGTGGCGATCCGTCTCAGCCAATAGGATCTGGACCTAAGGGCAGCAACCCCAAAAAGATAGAGAAACTTAAAAACCTGGAAATTCTGCAGGAAAATATCATCTATACATATCTATATGATATACCATCCTGGAAACCCTTTTTAAATCTGTTTAAGGGCTTGGTATATCTTACATCAGATACCGGATACTTAAATATGGCCCCATGAAAAAAGGATGAACAAAACTTGGGAAAATGAGGAGAATCCACTTTACTTGTCGGATCATCAGCCAGTACCCTCTGGTAATGAAAAAAATATGGGAAATCACCATTTTTGAGGAGGTAAATTAGGTAAATCATCATCTCGATCTCATCTCTAAAAGGCCATGTTCATCCATTTTCCACAGATAACAGTATATCAAATCACTGCTGATGTGGAGGGTGACGGACTCCGACGAACCCAGCGGCAATGTCCAGATGGTTCTGCGAGATGGCCATCATGAGCACATTGTCCCCCTCCAAATCCGAAGCCATGAGGTCGGCCTTCTTCTCCATGAGGGCCTACGTGTGTTACGCGAGGCGCGCAACTAATTTTTTGGCAAAGAAACCAAAAACATCAGGAAACCATGCATTGATAAACAAGAGTCAAAATAAGGTAAGCTAGTGTGTCACAATTGGTTCGTCACTGCTACAACAAAAGCAAAATATTGATAACCAACATATTACATCCTAATGATTACATATGATTACCACCTCTAATTCGTGGTGAATCATAGCATGAGATAGCTTGAAAGCCGCCTGAACGATCTGTTGCTTCCCCAAGGCGGCTGCCAGCAACAGGGGCGTGGTCCCGGTCTCATCCGCCACGTTGGCATCGTCCCCAAAGTCTGTCTCCAGGAGTTCAAGGACTCCATCCTCGTGGGTGCGGATATCATAGATATCATTGGGAGATAGATCAGATCAGAGATCAGAGACCGGAGATCAGAAAACAGGGATCAGACCAGAGATGATCAGAGACCAGACATCAGGGACCAGAGATCAGAACAGAGAAGAGACCAGATCAGATCAGATCAGTAGGTAGATAGATAGATCGATAGATCGATCGATAGATAAGATAGATCCGATAAGATAAGATAAGATGAAATACGATAAGATGAAATACGATAAGATACTATAAGATAAGATACGATAAGATACAATAAAAAAGATAGATTAGATTAGATTAGATTAGATTAGATTAGATGAGATTAGATTAGATGAGATGAGATTAGATGAGATGAGATTAGATTAGATTAGATTAGATGGATAGATAGATAGATGGATAGACAGATAGATAGATGGATATTAGATTGGATTAGATTAGATTAGATTAGATTAGATGGATAGATAGATAGATGGATAGACAGATAGATAGATGGATAGATGGATCGATAGATAGATTAGATTAGATTGGATTAGATTAGATTAGATTAGATTATTTAGATAGGTAGATAGGTAGATAGGTAGATAGGTAGATAGATAGATCGATAGATCGATAGATCGATAGATCGATAGATAGATCGATAGATCGATAGATAGATCGATAGATAGATCGATAGATAGATAGGTAGATAGATAGGTAGATAGATAGGTAGATAGATAGGTAGATAGATAGGTAGATAGATAGGTAGATAGATAGGTAGATGGATAGGTAGATACATGGATAGATAGATATAGATAGATAGATAGATAGATATAGATAGATATAGATAGATATAGATAGATATACATAGATATACATAGATATACATAGATATACATAGATATACATATATATACATAGATATACATAGATATACATAGATATACATAGATATACAAGATATACATAAATATACATAAATATACATAAATATACATAAATATACATAGATCTACATAGATCTACATAGATCTACATAGATCGACATAGATCTGCATAGATCTACATAGATCTACATAGACCTACATAGACCTACATAGATCTGCATAGATCTGTATAGATCTACATAGATCTACATAGACATAGACCTACATAGATCTACATAGATTTGCATAGATCTGCATAGATTTACATTGATCTACATAGATCTACATAGAAAATTAGATGAATATAGATGTAAATAGATTTATCAAATCTTTCAACAGGGCATTCCACGGGGGGACACTCCAGTTGGATCTTCCCAGGCTTCTCCCAACCTGATCGCCAGCATCGATCTTTTCGAAGACTTTCTTTAATTTGCCTCGCAAACGACACTTCCATAGCGGTCTCCAAAAATTTTGGGGAACATGATCAAATATCATCCATCTACCCTGGCCTCAAAAGACCATCGTTATATAAAACTGACCTGACTTCTTTTGGCCGAAGGATTCTGGGCCCCTCCTCATTTTGATAAGCCCATTTCAACGTTGATTTGGGATAAATTTTGGCCAAGGACCACCATTGGGGTGGGTGGACGATCACGTTTTCCCCCGACTTGCTGTATAGTTTGGACAATTCTTTTGAAAATGCAAGGTTTCGACCATGGCATGCAGACAAACAAAGCGTTGTCAACTTACGAGATAAGATCAGTATTGCCGGGGGCTCGCTATAGATGCTTCTCAGAAATTTTCCCAGCCATGTTTCAAGTACAAAAGCTGCAACTTTCCCAGCCATGTTTGCAAGGCTGTTGGTAAAATCGGTGTTTTGATGGTGAAATCCACGATGTATTGATCTTGAAATCCCCAACTTTGTTGTTGGGGTTGGGTTAAATCATGTTATGTATATATATATATATCATATATATATATATGATATTATATGTATATACATGTGTATCTATATACATATATACATACATGTGTATATATATGTATCTTCCAATTTTTGATCTTTCTTGTGAACTCCCAGCTGCCCAAATAAATGCCCTCCAGTTTCCTGCTTGTCCATCCCCTGCACCAGCAGGTTGCAAGAAATCCATGGCTGTCAGGTGCAATGGTCACCCGGCAGGTGCTGCCATCAAAAGGTCACTGTGGCTGACTTTGCAACACTCAGGGTCCAAACAAATGAGGACTTCTCTCCTGCATTGAAGCAACAATTCTATTCTGGAGTCTGTTGGCAGTTTCATGGAGCCCTACCCTTCTTCCCTGTGGCAAAAGCTGCGGCCAAATCCTACCTCACAGTGTGGCCAGAAAGCAGGACACGGCTGGGCTGCCCCTGCCGCCTAACGAGAGAATTAGAAGAACTTGAGAAGTAGTTTTGTAGGAGTTCAGATACAAGAGATCATCTAGAAGCTAACTCCGGTGTAAGAACTCCTGTGTAACAACTGTACAACTACTCCTGTGTCACAACTCCTGTGTCACAACTCTGTCAAAGAACTCCTGTGTACCAAGTCCTATGTAACAACTCCTGTGTAAAAACTCGTGTAATAGCTCCTGTGTAAATGACATTGTGGGAGTCTTGCAGGAAATATGTAGTCGCTGAGCACCTGTAGATTATGTTAATGATGTAGATAGAGGTATGTCATGTAGACGAAGTTGATGTAGGTGATGTAGATGATGTATGTAATGTAGATGAAGTTCATTGAAGTTGATGTAGATTATGTAGATGATGAATGTGATCTAGATGAAGTTGATGTAGATGATGTAGGTGATGTAAAAAAATGTAGGAGATGCTGTGTAGATGAAGTGACAATTTCAATTTGGCAGCAGTTCTTTGGGAACAAAAAAAACTTCGCAGGAGCTTGCGGGAAAAACGAACAGCAAGACGTCACAACTTCAGCAGCTTCAGCCCTTTTCCGAGCAAACACTGGACGTTTGTTCAAGAGTCTGGGATTTCAACCATCCGGTTGGCTATTTTGGGCCTCTGGCGATTCCCCGGCCCGAAAATCTCATCCCCCAAAATCCATCCCTTCATGGCAAACCTCAGTTCCTAAGGGTAAATGGCTGAACTTTGGCTCGACATCAACCCATCAAAAATCCTTGGGAATTTGCCTGAATGATGGCTAAATAAACCAAGGTTTGAACTTTGCCATGGGGTGATTTTGTTTCAAGCCTCACTTCACCACAATCTTCACAATCTCCTCATCATCTTTGTACAGGACGGCGGTGGCTCCCTCATTCACGGTGGAATAGCCGATAAAGCGTGCCAGGGGAATCTCAATCTCGTTGTACCTGGTTGGAAGTTGGGGCCCCATTTGGGACCATCTTCCGATAGCTTTTCTGGCTGGTAGATTGAAATGGTTGAAACAAAATATGCAGGAAGTCATTGGGAAGCATCATTCATTCCAGTACAGCAAAGGATTAAACATAGAACCTGGTTGAAACTGTCTTAGCTGTGGAAACCACACAAAAGTCTTCGGACTTTGGGATTTGTTCATGTTTAGGGATGGAAAATGATGGAAAATGATGGAAAATGATGGAAAATGATGGAAAATGATGGAAAATGATGGAAAATGATGGAACATGATGGAACATGATGGAACATGATGGAACATGATGGAACATGATGGAACATGATGGAAAATGATGGAAAATGATGGAAAATGATGGATGGAACATGATGGAACATGATGGAAAATGATGGAAAATGAAAATGATGGAACATGATGGAAAATGATGGAACAAGATGGAACAAGATGGAACATGATGGAACATGATGGAACATGATGGAAAATGATGGAAAATGATGGAAAATGATGGAAAATGATGGAAAATGATGGAAAATGATGGAAAATGATGGAAAATGATGGAAAATGATGGAAAATGATGGAAAATGATGGAAAATGATGGAAAATGATGGAAATCTCAAATTTCAAACAACCAGCCACTCGTCATCTGCCAAGACCACAATCTTTTCTTCGGCTCCACTACCCTTCACGTACATCACCTTAAGGGAGGCGGCTGGGGAAAGATGCACAACAGCTCCCTTAGAATATCTATCACCTCAGTAGATCAACATCTATCAGATCTATCACCTTTTTAGATCTTTTTAGATCTTTTTAGATCTTTTTAGATCTTTTTAGATCTTTTTAGTAGGTCAAACATAGATAATTCATGATAATTCATGATAATTCATGATAATTCACTTGAATTACCCATCACCTTTTTAATATCTTCAGCCCAGATAAGTGTGTCCGGTTGATCTTTTTGTTTGCCCCTTTTTGGGATCCACCGGGATGGTCCGATCGGCCTGACATTCCTGCTTGTCGGGTTCCACCTTCACCAGTTTCACTCCAGAGCCAAACTTCTGCACGCGCTGCTTCCCAGTGTCCAACTCATCGTAGGTCACGTGGTATGCGGCCGCCCCACGGCCTTGCTTGTGGGCATACCATTCCTTCACTTGGCAGTATCTCTCATCATATCTTAGGATCATGCCCTTCCTGACCTTGGGACCGCAGGGGGGATTCAATGGGATTCATGCGTACCAATAGGTTGCCAAGGGAACACATCACGGAGTTAAACATAGGGGTACCGGTAACTGTGAAGCTAATGGCTTTGTCTGAAATTAAAGTACCCGAAAAACTCCAATGCTTTCGCATACTTGTCCCTATTAAAGTGGCTATTTGGGGGTATCGGGTATATCATATTTTCATACACACTGGTACATGGTGAGTTTTCATCATGACCATTGCGTACCTCAATGATTGTAAGCCACGGATATCCCAAGAATTTGGATGCAGAAAATGCACGGATCAACACCCACAACTACCAAACAAATCCAAAAATATATGGTTTCCAGGGCAATAACTAAAATCAAAATCTCTCACTGGGGATCACTGGGGTATACCTTCCAATTATGGCTACTCATCATTTTCCCCATTAAAGTATCCATAATTGGAAGGTATACCCCAGTTTTCAGACACACCCAAATCTTCAAGTACTGGCCAGCTACATCTGTAACAGCGACCTGTTCTTTGGTCGCAAAACGCCTTGACGCTAATTGTGCCACCCGGGGATTCGCAAAGACGCGCGCCACTGCCCACATCACGTCCCCCAACTCGGCAGGGGCCTGGTCTGGGGTCCTACGTCATGAGACTCCCTGGCCAAAATGGTCTGCGACAAGTTGCTGAGGTCGATCTCAGAGGTCGGAAATGTGATCGAGAACCATGATTGGTTGGATATATATGGCATATAAGGGGATATCTCGGATATCTCAGATATGGCCATCATTCATAGGGGTCTACGTTTATTGGGGTCCCAAAATAAAGCACCTCAAAATAGTTGAAAATGTAGGGCATACTTTTGCTACATATCTTTTGGATTCTTTTGGGGGGCCCCCATGACTATATCCTGAAAATTGCTGACAGGTCGTTTGAACCTCATGAGGCCTGCAAACTCCAGAGCCTCGCTGCACCAATTTGACCAATCTGACCATTGTCCTCCACAAGATTTTGACCCCTGACAATCTAACTAGGCAATGGAAGGTTCATGACACTATCAGCAAGTTATAGAAGATGGTCCTGTAGTTTTATGTACTTTTACCATTGAAATTGCATATTCCCAGCCAGCCAAGAAAACTACCTGGATGCCCCGTGAAGTCACCAAGTTGCTATCAAATTGCTGGACTAGAACTGGATCTAAAATGATCTTAACTGGATATCAGCCACTGATTGCGATACAGAAATGGAGATCATTTGGGGTTATCATCTGTTATAATGAAAAAACATACTTGATTAGGAACGACCGACTTCCGAAACCGGGCGCAGCTTTTCTCCGACTGTACCATGTCAATCCATACCCCGCATTGGGAGAAGCACTGCCAGCTCAACCTTGGGCGATCGAGCCAAAATCATCAACTTGAACCACCACTTGAAACCATTGTTTCTTGAGGTCCCAAAGCGCTGAAATGCCGACTTTTACAAACCTTACGCTACTTCATGCAAAAACGCAACCCTAACACTTTTTGCTATCATCAAATGTATGTATATACAGTGTATTATGTGTACATATATATATATATATTATATAATTATAAATATATTATATATTTTATATATATACTATAATATATTGATCAACCTCCATGATAGAAAAGCTGGAAACATGGAAACTATGGTGAAAACAACATCTATTCCGAAATTCCTGTTGTGCTGTTCTATCTTTCTGGGGGTAACTATGTGTGTATACATATATATGATCCCGTCTTCCGCCCGCGAGCCCCCCCCCTCCCCCCCGAATGGGATGGGTCCCCAGGTAGCACCCCCACTTCCCTTCTATTTGCAAGCTATTGGCAGCATTTCTGAGGTCCAGCCTCGTATTTGCTAGGTTTTTGCAGCGATTCTGACTACCAGCCTCCCATTTACTAGGTACATGCTACCCTTTAGACGACCTGCGTAGCACACATACTCCCTCAAAGTACCTACGTGCTATCTATAGTTATATATACATGTGCTATGTATCTACTTCCTATATATCTGTGTATGTATGTATGTATGTATGTATGTATGTATGTATGTATTATGTATGTATGTATGTATGTATGTATGTATGTATGTATGTATGTGTATGTATGTATGTATGTATGTATGTATGTATGTATGTATGTATGTATGTATGTATGTATGTATGTATGTATGTATGTATGTATGTATGTATGTATGTATGTATGTATGTATGTATGTATGTATGTATGTATGTATGTATGTATGTATGTATGTATGTATGTATGTATGTATGTATGTATGTATGTATGTATGTATGTATGTATGTATGTATGTATGTAATATGTATGTATGTATGTATGTATGTATGTATGTATGTATGTATGTATGTATATATTTATATATATATATATTAACATGTTATAGATACATACATATGTGTATGTATATATATATACATATTCATATTCGTATTTAAATAAATACATATATATATATATACATATGTACACACATATATACATATATTCACATATATATATATATGTATACATATACATATAAGCATATATATATATATAATTATATAATATTATATATATATATATACGCAGTACCACACCCCCACCGCACCACAAGGGGGACGGGGAACATAGCTCCTGTATATCCATACCCATCCCTACTACTAACTACTACTAACCACTACTAACTACTACTCACTACTACTAACCCCCCCCACCCCCCTACCCACCCACAGGGGGGCGGGGAACATAGCTCCTGTATATCCATACCCATTCCTACTACTCACTGCTACACCCCCTACCCACCCACAGAGGGGCGGGGAACATAGCTCCTGTATACCCATACCCATTGGGGGGGGAGGGGGGGGACCTGGGAGGCTGCATTATATATACGTATATATACATACACATAGATATTCCCTCTGGAAATTCGCCAAATGATACGCCCTGAGAGCCCGCACTTCACCATCCACACCAAAGACATCCTCGGGAAAAATGTCTTGCTCCACTTTGACCTGGCGGTGGCTTAAATATCAAATTTAATGGGATTATAATGGGATTCTGATTGGATTATCACTATGATATAATGTCAAGGTAGGATTAATTAACCCCTCCAGATTAATCAACCACCACTGCCCAAACTTTTTTTGTAATTTAAAAACAGGTGGTCCCCCCAGATTAATAAACACTTTGGCCTACCCCCGATTAAAAAAACACCAGTGCTGAAATCCGTTTTTGTTATCCAAAAGTTTCAAATGGTTTCCTTATGGTTTCCTTATGATATATATTTAAGTTGAAACCGTATGAACACCAGAACCCATCATTGTTGATCATTGAAAATTTGAAAAACAACTATTCCCCAAATGATCGATTTCTAATTAAATTCTTTATAAAAATCATCAGTTTGGATAGCTCCCAAAGGGTACCCCCCCCATGAGCCCATGTCCCCCATTAATGATAATCAGGGTTTGCCCCTGATTAATCAACCACCATGTCCCTAATGTTTTTTCTTTGGATTTGCCCATTCATTCCCAATGTCCCCCATAGCTTTCAGCCAATTGACGTAAGCCATATCCAAATTTTTATGGTTCAGAGGCCGTTTATTTAGGGGGGATACCAGGAAAGACCTTGCAAGGTATACCCTGACCTATAGGGGGGGTTATTAATCCGATGTTGGCATTAACTAGGAATATCATCTATAATGAGATTGTGATGGGATTATTACAATTCTTACTTGGATGATGGAAATTATCAACAATAAAGAACAATAATTATTAATACCCTCCGGTGATCAAACATGGCAATTGAACATCCACGAACTAAATGAAGGCTTAAATGGGAAAATCATCTATAAATGGTGAAATGTCCATTGCCATGTTTGAATACCGGATGGTATAGTGATATATGATTGTGATTCAATGATTCAAAATTATTTTATAATTATATATATATATGTATAAGTGTGTTTTGGGAAACTTGGGGGTCAGGGGTAAGGGAAGCTAGCTTGGCAGGGAGCTCGGCATGAAAACACAATGATGCTGATGCGGATGCTCGCAATACCTTGCTAAAGCAAGAGGGACTTCAGCTAGCTAGCAGAAGCTACCTTTCAATTAAGGTGACTGGTCGAAAGTGGACAGCGATTGCATGACCGTGACCTGCCCAGAGTAAGCAGTGATTTCCACCGTGGGTCATAATCCGTTGGGAACGAAACCAAGGACGGAAACCGTTAAAAAGTCACAAAGAAAATCTGCACAGATCCCTTCTCCGCACCTCATTCATGCCGCCCTCCCATTTCTCGGGCACTTTGAAACTCGGTGTGGACTGAAAAGCCTGTCCCAGGCTTGGCACATCTTGGCACAAAGGTCACAGTGGCGCTTGTTCGCCACCCATCTCTGCTGGAAGTAGTGATTTTTCAAAACGTTTGACACCACCCACCACTTGTGCGGTCTGATTCCACAAATTCAACCTGCGATCCTGGTGAACAAAATTGGAAGAGCAGTCCTCCCCAAAAAAACATCAAACGAAAACACAAACAGAATTGGATGAAGTGAAACTTTGCGGATTTTACCCACCAAACAGAATTGGATTCCACACATTCCCAGCTGGGGAGCGAGCAAAAGGGAAGACTTGATAACCCGATGGGCCGGGATATCCGTCTTCAGGCACCTCCGAGACACCGTGAATGCGAGAGGTGCATGGGCCAAACAGATGCATTTTTGCGGGCCTCTGAAAAGAACAGCACTGAAAGTTCATCGATTTCAGCACTGTATGTTGGTCAACGATATTGAGGGATCTCATTTTGACCTGTACAGCCAAATGACCCAAATGGCAAGTTCGCGCTTCCAAGAACAGTTTGAGAAACTTGTATGTTCTGGACTCTACCAACATCTACCAACTGGCAATTCCACATAGCTATTGAAAATCCCAATTTTTAGACATTTTAAGGAGATATCTCACATCCTCAAATTAGCGAAAGAATATCTTGTTAGTGTGTGAAGTTCTGCGGTGCCTGCAGAGGGCTTTCAGTCACATCTCTAAAATCAAGCCATCACAATTTGGGGGCATCCTGTGGCTTGAGTCAAGTACGATATAACTACATTATATATAGCAATATACTCATCCTGGAGTAAGGAGAATGTGGAAATTTTGATACAATATGAGTTGCCCCTGTATTTCACATATATATATATATATTATATATTCAGATGATGTACCTTCTGGCAATCAAACGTTCCAATGGAAAATCCCTGAAAATCCCTCATTTCGTTCGATGATTTTGCAGCTAGAAACTCCCAGCCGTTGAGCTGATTACCCAGCCGGGTCACCATGAAATATCCTACTTGTGGGTGCAGGTCCAGCTATAATTGAGTATATATACACTAGTATACGTATAATTACGTGTATATATATATATGTATGTATGTATGTATGTATATATATGTGTGTATTATCCTAAAAATATGTACATACAGTATTTATATTGTATATTAACCAGACTTGCAGGGGTTATACCCCAACTTACGGAGATTATACATCCCGCGGCCCGGTGCCGACCATCTTAGTCCATTGCTCACCAAGCTTTTTGCCCGGTTCTAGCTCCACCTGCTCTGTGCCGGAGAATGGAAAACAAATGCCGAGAATGATGATGAACATCTTGATAAACCAGGTGATAGATGTATACATTTACATATCGATTTTTGGACAAACCAAAATTTCGAAGTCCATGTTTCAATCTGTTGTTGGATTGCTATGGAAGATCAGCTAGGGAAAGTGACCTGCAAAAAGTGCTGACATGTCACATGTCACCTCCAAAAACCGGGATATACATAACATATATGTAATATTATGTAATTATATAGATAATTATACAACATGTAAACAACGACTCTTGGTGATCGGGAATTTTAGTATGTAGAATGCTGGTTGATTCGTGTCATATACGCAATCGACTGCGATGGCCAAACAAACCAAAACATGTTTCATCAAAACATTGTCTCTGCCAGTTCAATGTCTACACATCTGTTTTAAAGTCAAATCTAACAACCCAAGGCGAATGAGCAGGATTGAAAACATCAGCATCAACCCCTAAGAGTCTGTTTGAACAGGAAAGCAAGGAATCCAATACATCTAGATTTTGAATGATTTTGACTCCCAGAGAAGCCACGGATTTTCCGCCGGAAGTGGAAAGCTGTTTCTCGTCCCAAAAGCCGAAAGCAGATCCCAGAGATGGAACTGCTGAGTTTCGGCACCGTAGAAATGGCTCAACCTATGGATCTACTGGGTTTGGTTGGCCATTTCGCTTGTTACACGCACTTATTGTGGTGAAGCCACTCATACAGAGCCAAACCAGACCTCATCGGTGGCGACCAAGTGAAACCCCCGGTACGGTGGAGCCCCTCCACGCCTCAGAAAACGGCGCAACCGTTTCTGGAGGAAATCACCAGAGAATGAGGAAAAAAACAGCTGGTTGCTGGTTTAAAGTTTCAACCTCCTTGAAAAAAATAAATGTCCATGGAGATTATCATCATGGAATGGAGATAATGGAGAATAAAACGATACAGTATCTTAAAATATGTTAAACATGTTCAAACCACCAAGCAGACTAACTTTGAGGAGAGGTGTTTTTTGGTACCACCTCTCCGGTGCACTTGCACAGATACGTGCTAATCTGTAAAATGTTCACAAATGCTGCCTACATGATATTCACTTGAACGGAAAAAACAATTTTATCTTTTGGAACAAATTTTCGTATCACATGTAATTGAAGTGAATGAAACCATAGCGCCAACACATTTTTTTCACGCATGCAAACGCGAGACGCGTGAGAAGAGTTGATCTATTGTCTAATTCCGAAGAGTTGGACATACAAAGAACTATCACCTGTGTTACGTGGTGTTTTTCTGTTGTCTTGGTATATGATATAGTATTATAGTATCAAACCCTTATAAATGACCATAGGTGCCCATCGGTGACCATCGGTGACCCAGAACCATTGGTTTCCCAAGCGATGTCCTACGAGACACGTACGGATTTGTCAGAAAACTTTAAAGGGAAATCCAGGTGTTTGATCCGAACATTTTCCCTGCTAAAATTGTTTGGTTCGGGATTAATAAATCCAGAGTTTTCAGACAACTCATACCAACTTTGCTAGAAATCGTTTCTTGGAAATCCTCAAACAGTGTCACCAGCACAGCTGGTCCAATCTCCCAGCATTTGAGCAGACCACCCCTGGTATACGTGACGTCTCACCTAGCAGGAATGGAACGACTGGAGGTGGTACAGCATATTTTTGAGAAATTGGTTTGAGGGTCCCCAATTTTGGACATATTCAGACGGATCTAGGCTACATTGGAATCACCATCGACATTGAACACAAACACTAACAAAGATTACCCTCTGGTAATTTAACATAGCTATGGAAAATCACCATTTTCAATGGGTAAATCCACTATTTCTATGGCCATTTTCAATAGCTAAAAAAATATCATTCAGTATCATTTCTCACCAGACTGGTTCTCAAATCTTCTCCAACCAGTGGTTTGGTTTTGGAATCGTCAAATTTGTAGAGCTGACGCATGTTTTTCAGCAACCCCAACGAAGAGATCGTTTTGATTTTGTTGAAGTGAGGCATCCCGTGGTAGGCACATCCCATGTCAAATCATTTCAAATCCATGTAAGTGGTGTTTTGAAGATGTCGCTTCATAATATGTAGGTTTTTTCAAATAATTATATAACCTTTAAATTTAGATTTACATTTATATTTACATGTATGTTCATATTAATATTTCTATTTAAATTAAAGTTTACAGGCAAATATATATTATATATAGTTATAATATGTTATAATATATATATATACACCCTCAGGACGCTTGGTCGCGGTCGCTTGAAAACGCTGTCTCTTTCTGTTTCTGATGAGGGCTGGGGAGGAGGGCTTCGGGGGGGTGGTGGGCTACAACGTTCCGATATTCTACGTTTTCAGGTTGGGGGTTCTACGTTTTGAAGGTGGGGTTGCTGCGTTTTCAGGGTGGGGTTACTACATTTGCGGTTTTCTGATGCTACGTGGATGCTATGTTTTCAGGGTGGAAGGAGGTGTTGTAACCACGATACGTCCCCACCGCTCTCCACTGCTCAAGGCAATTTTCAATGTTCTCTATGCACACGCAAACCAAAGCTGCAAATGTACAGGTGCTGGCAGCAGCGCTGCACAGAAAACCTGGACTCGAAACAGTCCTGGAAGCACTGTTCCAAAGGCACTCTGCAAACGAGCCCTGCAGATTGCTAGGAAACAAAGAAGCTTCAGTGGCTGCAATGAAGACAAGAAACTGCATTCCAGGCTACGGCGAACCAGGCGTCCTGCGCGTATGTGTATATACTATATTATATTATATTATATTATGTTATGCTATGTTATATTATATTGCATTACATGATATTATATTATATCATACTATAATATATATATATATGTATTGTATTGTATTGTATTGTATTGTATTGTATTGTATATCATATTATATTATATTATATTATATTATATCAGATTAGATTATATTGAATTATAGTATGTTATGTTATGTTGTTATGTTATGTTATGTTATATTGTCATATATGATGTTTTATATGTATAATATATATATATATATGTGCGTGTGTGTGTATATATTAAAGTGTATACAGGAATTCCCATTTGTTCCCGCTTAAACCATCGCATTTCCGGGGTCACACTCGTCATTTTTCACGACATCGCCGACCAAAGGCCGCTCCGCCTTGATGGAATTCATCACCACTGCAGTCAAATCAGAGCTGGCATCGAGCTTGGCAGATGCAATCCTCAGTCTGAAGAGGTTGGATCATTAACAATGGTGATAATGGGTACTATGGTTACAATGGCTATAATGTTTATAATAGTTATAAGTTATAAAGTTATAATGGTTTTAATTATAATGCTTATAACGGTTATAATGTTTATTGACAATTATAATTACTGGATCTTATATAATAATGGATCTTATACAATGGATATTACATGATGGATATTTTTCTCAATATGAATTGATGACTGTAATCCCATCTCCCAAACACCAGGCTCAATGTGGGTATAACGATGGGGAGGGGGATAGGATGGATAGGATGAAGGATTTTCTTGTCAGTGCGCCAGCGAAGAATGGGAAACTCAGGTGGGCTCATCGCCCAAGAACTGTTTCCTTTGGCTGGTTGTCAACAATGTGTACCCTCTGGTAATTTAACATAACTATTGAAAATTACCATTTTCAATGGGTAAATCCACTATTAATGGTCATTTTCAATAGCTACGTTAAATTACCAGAGGGTAAATTGTGTAAATCTCCATACGCACAGACCTGGTCATGGATATCCGAACTCAGATCAACTGACCCCGGTTGGGTAATTGGGGGGGAATTGTGCCCTGAAAACGTGATTTCGTCTGCAATGAAACTTTGGAACCCTCCCCAAATCGTCACCATTAATCCAAGGTAGGCATTTTTCGTATTAAACATGCTGGTAAGGTCTCATCGCACCGCATAACTTCTATCTATTGATGATTAATAGGTCCAAGTTTTGTTATTCCTAATCATTATCATCAATTATCTATAATATATAACTGTGGTGATAATAGATATCATATGATTGGATTAATATCTATCATCAATAATCTATAATCATCAATTATCTATAATCAGTAATAACTATAACCATCTATAATCACTAATATGATAATGATTATTTATAGATTACTAATATTGATGGTTACTATAATAATTACTATAGGTGATATCTAGTAATCACCCATATATAACCATCAATATATTTGGTGATAATATATTACTAATCAATATATATATATATACTAATCTTAATAAATATAGATTACTATTATATTATCTATCACTAATAAGCCATCTATATTTGGTGATAGAAATCACTAAGGCCTCCACGAGGTCATCTCATCCAAGACCTGGAAATTTCTGTGGGACCGGTGGGACCCGATCTGAAAAGCACAAAGTTCTTGGCTTTGAAACATAGGGATACATTAATAATATATACATTATAGTAATCCATGACTAGATCATCTATATATATACATATATATGTAGAGTAATAAAAAACGAATTAACATCTTGATACATATTGATCTATTATAGAAATTTGATGATGCGGAACTGTTTAGAAGCACCGGCCTGACAGTCTAGACAATCGCAAGAAGTAGACGATAAACTGCGGGAAAAATATTGTCCACAACACAACAGTCTACAGTGCCCAATGCGCGCCAGAAATCTCCAAAAGAGATGAAAATTGATCGTTAAACTCCCCAAATTTCACATGGACCCGGTACTTTTTTGTGCCATATCAAAGTTCAATGTGCAGAAAACAATCTTCAAAACCCAACGTCTGGGGGTTGCTCAATGAGGATAAGTGACCCCAGCCACGAGAAGACACGTAGCCAAAACTGGCATTCTATCTATTGCCCCAAATAATGCCTTGCTACGTTTGATAGAAACAATATGCCCCAATGTTTTTCCAATGATAGAATGATAGAATGATTATGGAAAAACATTGAAAGTCCATTGATACCCTATCTAAAAGTAACTACGGCCCGTTACAATAGAATTGCAAACCAAATTGGGGACTATTGGTACCCATCATAATCCCATTTATCTTGGCAAACGCCCCATTTCGCATCACAAAACCATTATATACAATCATAAACCCAGTCATGACTAATCATCATTGCAATTACCCCATGATCATTACCATCATAGTGATATCCATCATTACCTCCCGGAACCACTACCAATATCCCATATAATATATATATATATAATATATATATATATATATCCATCCTGAAAGCCATTGTAACAGTATATATATATATCATATGTATACATATATATATATGTATCACGCCTATTCTACAATGTCTGCAACTGCAAAAAAAAAAAGAAAAAAGAAAACAGTGTCGCAATAACCTTATATGTTTAAAACATGATGCAGTATATCCCATGTATAATATATATATATACATACAGTATTTATACCCCATATAAGTATGTATATACGTTATATATACATAGTATGTATTTATTTTGCTCCGCCTTTTTGAGATATCTCGCGACGAGCATGCAAATACATACTCTACATATGTATATATATATATACATATGTCTATGTGTATATATATATATGTATATATATGAGGGTATACATAAAGATAGTGGACATCCTACAATGTAGGTGTATCTATACAATATATACCATATATGTCCTCTATATGTTTCCTCCCTGCACACCTCGCCGCCACAGGCGATCTTCGTCTTGGCCACAGGCAAATCCAGCAGCGCTGCGGCGCGTTTCGCCAGCTCCGCCACGGCGCTGGAGCCCTGGAAACAAATGTGAAAATTACCCTCTGGTAAACTAACATAACTATAGAAAATCACCATTTTTTGTGGGTAAATCCACTATCCATTTTCAATAGCTATGTTAAATTACCAGAGGGTATGAAATTGTGAAAATATGTATGTAATGAAATATATGAGCATTATTACTATGTAATGTATATTTATATTGATGAAATATATGAGCATTTATATTAATTATGTATGTAATGTACTACAATAATCCACATAAAGCACCTTGGAAAGGTGAAATCCGTATTGAAATGCAATACAACATATCTATATAGACATGTGTGTGGTGGCGTGTCTGTGTGTGTGTGACATGTGTATATGTATATGTATATACGAGTACATATATACACAAAAATATTTCAGATGACATTGAAATATGAAGTGTTTCTTCTTGAAATGATGCCATTGATTGCCAGTGTATGGTTTTCTTTCCAACGGGATAATGTCTAATTTTATATATGATGGTGTGAGATAATGGATGGTGTATGACGAATGACCTGATGCTTATGGTGACACCCAAAAGTTGGTCGATTCACGGCGGCATCTCCATTCACGTGGCGCCTCAACGTTCAAGGTGGTTTCTCCTCCGTTGAGCGACTTGACCTCGGGGTCTCAGTCACCTCTACAAAGATGTTGGGATGATCATGTAATTAAGCAAGTGTAGTTGGAATGATACTCTGTTGATATATACATAGAATTATACGCATACAGATTGATAGCATACATAGATATAATTATATATATAATTATATATATATAATTATATATATACAGTATACATACATACAATCGTGCAACGAAGAACACTACAACAGATTGTGATGGTATAGCTGCTTTTTTAATGACCGATCATAGTTGGGCTTCGAGGACCAACAAAAATAGGAATAGAACTACTGTGGCAAGACTAAAGAGACCTTGATGAAAAAATCACCACGAATTTGGATGAAGCAAAAAAAACTGGTCATGGACATACCATGTTTGGCCAATCAGCATAAGTGTACTTCAAAGCCCACTTCAAAGCCCAAGTTAGGGGTAAGCAGTTCGCTATTTGTTGACCAGCACCTGGTTCATCACCGAGTTGCTGTGAGTTCCGTCAACCTAAGTGCGGCCATGGACTGCGGCTGGGGGTGGAAAATCCAAAGGACAGACAAGGATAGAGACCGCGACTGCGAATCTGGATACAACAGCCCCCAAAAGAGATAGAAAATCAAAATCCTCCTGAAATAGAATGTGATAAAGTTGTACATGTCTATCTTTTTGGGGTTGCAATGGGTTGCAATATCTTCCTCTTATATATATATATACAATTCGATACATATATGTATATATATATATATACCAACCATGCTTTTACGATGATGGAAATGTGCTGAGGTCGTGTGATGTCGTTGAGGTCGCTACTCGGCCGGTTGCTCTGTTGCTTTGCCATTCGATACTTGAGACTTCTTCACTGTGTCCTGGGGCAAATCGATGGCGCTGGCAGACTGCTGGCAGTGGGGGAAGCCAGAAATCCATAAAAAAATGTTGATGGATTGGCTGATGGCTGGAGGAACTGAGACACTATTGACACTATCACATGATTCTACGATAGATCTCTCATCTCCAGAAGATCATCATCTGATCTGCAGAGTCCTGCAGGATCTGGGCAAACCAACTGGAGAAATCCTCCTCCTTCAGTCCAGCTTCCTTTCCTCCAAACACAAGAATTTTCAGCCGTGTGTCCTCTGTTTTCTGGTGTAAATGTGATTAAATTTGGGGATGCAGCCTCCAAAAGCAGAGATGACCACCATGAAAATCACGAGTCCACAACTTGTGCGACTTCAAATTCTCCCCGAATTTCCCTTGCCCCAACAAGAGTAGACCACTTTCGAGATATTTGTGTACCTACCATTACCTACCTACATCTGTACCTTCTGCGAAGCCTCCGGAGTAGGGCTTCATGGACTCTTCGATGTCCTGACACTGGGAAACCAGCAGTAGGGCTCTCCAGCCTGTTTCTGTGACTTGGTCAGATCGGAGCTGATTGGGACCCTTGGCTTACCACTAGAGGACACATTGGTTCAATCTTCATTTGCGGGTTAGGATTCCCAGGTTTTCCCATGAAATGTAGGGTTAAAAACTAAAAAACATACAGTAAATCAATCCATATCATCAAATGTTGATTGAACTCCCATTGCTCAAATTCCCCCACTTTCCATCATGCCGGAGCCTTATCTGTGAGATCAATGCCCAGGCCTGCGAGCGATCTAAATCCGCTCAGACTGCTTACCCCAAACTGTGGCTTCGTAACTCCCACGATGGAGTTGGAGTGGTCCTTGATTTTGGCCACACAGATCTTTGGATCTTGTTGTTAGGGCCAGCCCATGTAGTTGCCAATCAGGGGCCCAAACAATTCAATGGCTTCCCACTAAGATCATATAGTCAGATGGCAGATTTGGAGTCTATCGGCGTCCGAGAATACCACCTAGAGATACCTAAAGTATCTTAAAGATTCTTAAAGTATGGGTTTGTGACTTTGTGAAAATAGGGTTACCGGGTAACCCAAATCCACTGATTTAGTGTCCTCTTCTACCCCATGACTTTCCACCGGTTAAAAAGGCAGCCGAGCAGTAATCCATGTGCAGCCGAGCCTGAATGCAAGTCCTGGCACAAAGTCACAATCTCCTCCGACCTCGACATGGCTTGGGGTGGCCACCATCCACCTGGACAGATCAGCGGTTTCACCCGAGCTTTCGACTCCAAGAAAGCGTCCTTGTTGCTGTCGTACTTGCGAAAGTACTTCCTGATGTGGTGGGATATCTTGGGATATTTTGGGATCAATGATGATCACTGATGATCACTGGAATTTCAAACAACACAGCGGCGTCAGCGCCATTCCACCTATAAACTATCCCATTTGAGACCCCAAATAGAACAAATCAAAGTGCTAACAGTTAACCCGTGGTTTCTGGGGACGGTAGTTGTTCGGGGGCAGGGAAGGGATGACAAAGACATCAAAAACACCAAGCCTGAATGGTATGTGTCCGGCCGATACCAGTATTTGCAGCTGCTGAGTATTGCACTTGCACATGTCTGACAGAAGCTTGTCAGAGTTTAGAAGTGCTGCAGCATACCTGAACTGGTCGGTGGTTTCTTGCCCAGTACACTGGTGCATATTCCATTGGCGCTGTGGGTGACATGGTGTACATTCACAAATATGAACAAGCACTTATTCAACGCCAAGCAGCTCGGCAGTAATGGGTTGCGGCCTGGGTGTCATGTTTGTCGTTTTTGGAAGGTCTGCAAAAGACTCTTCCATCCCTTGACATTGACCTGGGATCTTTCTGGGGGACGAAACCCCAAGTGATGCATCCTGAGTCATCCTGAGGAAGCGGCCCCTTACTTCCAGCTTTCACGGGTTTTTCCTGCATGAATGCCAATCCTACTCAGCCACAACCATGCCACAATTCCGAATTGACAAGTCCCCTAATCTTAGTAGGGCAATAGTAAACAATCCCCCAATTTAGCATAAATGGGTGGTATAAACCATCAAAAACATGGATGGTTTACTGTTGTTTTGCTAATATTAGTTCGGTTTGTTCCATTTCTGACTGCCCTGTTTGCCGTCATCAAAGTGCCGAGCAAACACTCTGGGCCTCGACTGGCTTTGTCACAGGTTTCCCGTCCTGATCCACACCTCTGCAGAGTTGCAGAACAAATGCTGGAAGGATGTGGAAGTTTGGGATTGCTGAAACAAATATACCCTGAACGTATATATATATATATACATATATACATATTTTATGTTTGGGATTGCTGAAAAGTATGTGGGATTGCTGAAAAGTCAAAACTTTCAGAAGTAATCTGGTACACCCAAAATCCCACAGACCTTCAAAAATTGGGATTGCTTATACAATCTTCTGGCAGGGGATAGATTTTGGCGGGGTTAACCATATCACGAGAGATTGTGTGATTCTGTTCAAACATGCCATTCCAAAAAAATGGACAATGCGTTGCAACTCATTCCTGGTTGGTGGTTTCAACCCCCCTGAAAAATATTAGTCAGATTGGATCATCATCCCAACTATTGGGGAAAATAAAAAAATGTTCCAAACCACCAACCAGATTCTAATTATTTGGGATCCATTCAAACACTCAAATTGCTCCCCTTGACACAGTTTGTTTTTCTCCAGGAGATTCTGTAACTTGGTTACCCCCAACTGAAAAACCGATTCTCATCATTTGCCCAAAACGGCCCATAGGTGTTTATATACCCTCTGGTAATTTAACGTAGCTATTGAAAATGGCCATTTATAGTGGATTTTCCCATTAAAAATGGTGTTTTTCAATAGCTATGTTAAATTACCAGAGGGTAATTCATATATGGAGGTTTCATAAGTCATGGGGGTACTCCAATTCATCCAGTCGTCATGATTCGACCATGGCTATTCGTATTGAAACAACCATGGGGACGACTGGGGATCCAGCACTTTCGGAAACTTCGAAAAAAAATGGTGATGTTCCCTTATAATTATATGTTTATCTAACATGTGTTTTGGGGATTTGTATGGGATTTATCATCATATGGTAGTGTGTCAAAACCTTGTACCCCTGTAGTTCACATCAAAATAGCTGGTAGTTCTGGATGTTCATCCCCCTAAAAATGGTATTAATAGGTATTGACCCATACCCATATCATTGTTTTTTGTTCGTGTTTTTCCCCTATGAAAATGGCCTCAATTTCCTTGGCTTTCAGACCTAAGCGTTCCTGCTGTTCGGGCGTATAGACCTCAGCCAATGGCGATTTTTTGGTCACATGGTATACATGGGATATATATATATATATGCTAAATAACATTAATGTATATATGTATCCCATTTAGTATATATATATATATATTAATACACCAAGTATATAACATGTTCTATATCTAAGATGTATTAATATGTATTAATATTATATAATATATACGTGGTCATGCTGATTCATAGAACATATGATAACATGATGTATTTAAAAATAGTGAGATCCTGGGAATACAATTGAATATATACACACGAATCAAACATCAACTAGATATATCTAGTATTCTCATCCATCGCACAATGGGAATCCTGTAATGAGTGTATGGTTCCTGTCAACACAATTTGGGGGTAACCACAAGGCAACTCGCTACTACTTGTTTTCCTCAGTTGGGACAAACGCATCAGCCTCGAGCCAGGCGGTGCAGTTGATTGGTGCTAGCTCAAGTGTGGTCCGTTCAAAGTTCCCTATCAATAAATTGATGACCATCCCCCAACATGAAAAGTTACTCATGTTTTGACCATGGCATATAGGGCTTTGACTTGAATATCTTAAAATAGGGTACCTAGAAATCTGATGATTAACTTGCCATTTTGGGGCTATACCCCTATTTGCAGACAGACCCATGTAGGATTGCATGTCAACAATCGTATTATGCTGATCGTTATGTGTTGCTACAACGAGATTGTCCCAGTTGTGAAACCTGTTTCCCTTCAAGGGCCGGCACGGCCCACTGGGCGCCCCGCTAAGGCTTTCCAGCCGCCCATGTCTTTGGTACCCGCAGGCCTCTCCATTTCGCCTCTGGTCCAGGCAGGGCCGGCCAGCCCTATTCTTCCAGGATTTCCAGGTCTTCCAGCCTCAGTTGGACCCTATGGCCCTATGGGTTTCTTGCCTGGTGGACCCAGTTTCAAGATTTTCCCCCAGAAGTGTTTGAAGTGTTGCTTTCCTACAGCACTTCTAACCCCTCCGCCATGGGAGCTAGGGAAGCCACTGGCGCAGCGGGCATCGGCCTGGAATGTTGGGGAGAAACTCCTGAGGCTCCACCTTTGGGGTGATCATCATTTCCCCAAAAATGCTGGGCCTCAAAATCTGAAGCAAAACTCCGGAACTTTCTGAGTCAGACTCCATGGTATGGCATCATGGGATCAGAAAATGCCAGGATGGACTATATAAAATATAGACTTAAATAGTATCTGAAAGCACCCGAAAACCAACGTAACTGGGGCGGAGGGCGCTGGACTGCTGGCTTTGGCTGCCACAGGCACTTCCTTGCCAAGATTTTGGGATGCCGATAATCATGTGGCAAGGTCAATGCCATAAACCTACCATTGGGGGATGCTATTTGCCATCCAGTTATGGCATATGGTAATATTATAGGGATTGTTTCTTGTTGGCTTTACCACATTGACAGTTTTGTTGGCTGCAATCAGCTATCCCCTAGATGTCCCATCAAAAATCCAAATATATCCAAATTAAATTAAATAATTATATATTATATACTTAAATCATAAATATATGTGAAAATGTGTGGTTTCCGGTCTTAAGTATTGCGAGGTAAACCCGATTCAGCCAACTATAGGGGGTGCCCCTGTATGAGATCCGCAGAGTCCGAAGGAACCGAGTTCAATCCTGGGAATGGGTCAAGAATCCGACCGCAAAGGGCCCACAAAATCGGTGATGTTTGGTATTAAACCATATTGAACAATTCATTTTGGGAGTTGAATGATTTGACTTCTCCTGCTACTCTTTTTTTAGGGGGTATTAAACCATCCGCAATAATCTTGACACCCATGTGGACCTGAATGACGAGCTGACGACATGTGTCGTGGACTGTGCCTCCGCTGTCTTTGCCGCTGGGTTTCCATTTGCATCCACGCCTGTGCAGTGGTGCACCAAACTGGACTTGCAGTGACTTAAACTCTAATCATTGCTGGTCCCACATTTATATACCAGTTATTGCTAGTTGAACTGGTTAAACCCTTCTTTCAAGTCAAAAAAACTGTCTGCGCCTAGCCGTTCTTGCTGCTCTGGCGTGTACACCTCAGCACCAGGAACCACTGTGGTTCCCTTTCAAGCCCGCAGTATGCTGAACCCAGTGTCATGGGTCAGGGTCAAAATCATGGTAGCCCGATATAGGAACTGTGCAGGATCTCCACTGACTGGGGTGTTTGGTTTTGACTCAGACCCATATCGGGGGTGTCTGAAACTTGGGTACCTCATTCCATCCGCTCGTCTTTCCCAAAAAATCATCCCCTCCTGGGCGTCGCACGAGGGTTTTGTAGGTCCCCATGTCTTGGGTGCCCGCAGGCCTCTCCATTTCACCTCTGGTCCATGCTGGACCCACCAAACCTATCCTGCTTGCAGCAGGCACTGGCCTCGGAAGGGATGAGAGTTTCCCCAAAAATGGTGGCTCCGGATCCAAATCATTGGGGGAACCCCCAAATAAAGAGTCATAATAATAATAAAAAAACACCACGAAGTCTGATTCCTGGGGTCCTAGATTCTGACCCCACCAAAGTTCTTGGCTCCAAAAAGTCGCATCTGATCTTCGGGAGTTTTCATTTGCGGTGGTGAGGACTTGAAAAAACAATCATGTAATCGTTAGTTCCAATCCTAAAACGATCTAATTTTTGGTGATGGCACCCCCATTTTAGGACACCTCCAAATATAACCTGAAGCAAAATGGTAAACTGAGGTATGATTTACTCCTTAATCTGGTAATCAAACATGGGACTGTAAAATTTCCCAGACACATGCGTCTTGTTTCTTTATTTTTCCACCAGGGGGACGGGCAAAGTGAAACCCCAATTAACTACATAAAAGTACATGTGTCAAAATAAACAAATTATGAACCATTGACATTTTATGGCTCTGTCTGAAAAGAGTACCCATTTTTTGTTTTTTTCCATGTTCAATGGCCGTTTTGGTAGACTGGTAGATCCACCACTTTTGGACAAACCCAAAATATACCCCTGTGATTGTTGATCAATACCTCCATGACTGATGGTGTCAATTAATGTCCCCTTTGTTCATTGCTGAATCCCCATGTTTGATCGGTAATCTAAATCTCAACATGGGCACGGCCATTAATATCATCAAATTGCTGGTTTTTTCCCATGTTTTCCCTGATTAATATGGTCAAGTCCCCAAATTGGATGGAAAAATTACCGTCAAGCGTAAACCCTACTTGGATTTGCCTAAGGGGCACAAAAAAAAGAAAAAAAATAGTCAGTCCCTATAATTAGATTCCCCAAATGGATCCAAATGGTGGATGTCCCATTAGAAAAATAAACAAATCCTCTTCTACAAGGTTACAAGGACCAGCTCTTCCAGCTCGCGAACCTCGCTGGCGCAGTGCTGCTGGCCGCACTGACCTGACTTTGCTGATCTTTTTTTTAAGAATGGCTTGGTTTAGAGGACATTTTTAACCGGAAATTCTGTTTTTTAATCACTTTTGACTTTTGACAATCAAATATAGGGGGTCCTGGAAATTCTGCCACCAATTCTGGGATTTTAACATAAAACGCACCAGAACACCCTCAGATGCTTTTTCTTTTGTACTATTGTTTATACGATTGTTGGTTTCGCCGAAAAAAGTGAGCAACAAAGGACCCAAAGGATCCGCAACGTCTGTGTTAACTTCGGTATGCAACATCCAATATGCAAATGTTGCATGATCTTTGAGCACGAACCCATCTTTGAAATATACACATAGCATACGTGTATATATCTAGGTAGCTAGGTAGCTAGGTAGCTAGGTATGTAGGTACGTACGTACGTACGTGTGTGTGTGTGCGCATGTGTGTATGTATGTATACATACATATATATATATACATTGAGGGTTCAAGCAGCTGTAGACCCAAATCTCCCCCGCAGGCGGTTTCACAAACCTAACCCAAGCCATGCCTTTCTCTACCCCATGCAGGCTGTTACTCCAAATGATAACACGGGCCGGTAAGCTGCACCAAATGCTGATTCTCGCGAATCCATGGTTCGTCATCATCCCAGTCAGTTGATTCATCTATGGTGATCACAATGGGGACCCTGAATAAATAAACCTGATATGAGAATATGTTCGTCTGTGCCTGGCCTAAGCGATGAAAGTCTGGGTTTGCCTGAAATAAGGCCCGCTGAGATAGCACAAAGGACATAGAATTGCAATTGTCGAACAGGATAAAGCCGTGAGAATCGCTGTCGTAATGTTGTAACTCAGCGGCCGTGGCACCCTGGACAGTTTGAATGAAAGGAGGCTTCTGGATATACGTAGGCAAAACGAAATGGAGGCATTTTGCCAAGGTGCTTTTGCCAGCGCGCGAAGGCGCCCGAAGCACAAGAAATTTGTACCGAGAATCTAAAATGGAATACTGTTTGGCCCAGTCTTCGACTCGGGCAACCACTTCTGGCAAAAATGGCTTTTGCAATGGCTGGAGCTGAGCCACCACTTCGGCCTGCTCACGTCGGAGGCGACTTTCGCACTCCTGCTGCATGACTGCTTCCACAGCGCGTTTGCGGGTGATATAGCCCAAGCGCACCTGCAACCTGCTGCACACGGTGTTGACACTTTTATAGTGATAATTCTGAGACATTGGCCCTCTTTCTGAAAATGCATCTATAGAATCAGAGACCCCAAGGTATTTTCAAGTTGACAATCTCTTTAGAATCGCTGCCCCCAAGTCACTCTCGTAGAGCCGTTTTTGGTTGGGGGGGTTAGTTGGCCTTCTATAAAATCAGGCTCCCCAAGTGTCATTCATTGACAGCTGACCTGAATGCTCCAGTTGCTCTTGCCTACCTTACCTTATGCATTCCCAATTTTATAGAGCTCAAAGGCGCCAAGTGTTCACTGTCAACCTCTTCGATTATATACAAGGATGATCAATGATGATGAACGAATTGTTGTGGGAAATTTGTTCTGCCAATACTTCTCTATAGAATTGAAGAACATGACATACACCCAAAGAGAACAGATCCAACTATAGAATCGCAGTGGCTAAGGCTTTCTGCTGACTAGGACTCAGTGCTGTATTCAACATGAAATCTCTATAGAATCAGAGGCCCCAAGGTCCTCTATACAATTGGAAGCGTTGACACTGGGTAGGTACCCCTAAACAAAGCAGGGGGTTAAAACGCACCATTTTCCAGGACCCAACGTTCTTGATTCTGTAGAGGAAATTCCAAGGGGGATATTTGAAGGTATCTGAAGATGTGTTACGGCCAAATTATTGCTTATGTTCGGACACTTTATCAGACTCGAAGCAGCACTTTTATAAACAACATAGGTGTTTGTGACGTTCCCTATTCTATGAAATGGACCTGCTATGAAGTGGTCACACTGAAATTCACATTGGGTTTATGTTATGTTCCATTTCATACAAATCTTTTCGGAGTTGGTCAATATTCTGGTACCCGAAAACTGCCCGCACGCCACCCTTTCGCGAACCGTTCGCGCCCCAGCAGAATCGGGACAAGGAATTCTGATCATGTTTTCGTGCGCATATGTGTTTATACATAGTGGTATGCAGACCTCGTTGAATTTTAAGGTTTCTCCATCCCACTTTATTACTTGTATATTATGGTACCCATATTCCAGACCACATAAAATATGATAAAGAAACATTTATAGTATGGGTTTAATCATTTCATCCGGACATGGGTTCTTCCCTTCCATATAGAGCTTCAATCAAGGGGATCGATAAACAGCTATTGACAAGTCAACTGCAATGACACCGCCTAAAGTGAGTCTTTGGCATCCGCACCCCTGGGTCCATGTATATATATATAAACAGATATATATATATATATATATCCATAGATAGATATAGATAGATATAGAAAGACATATATTTGTATAGATCTGTCTCGAAGAGATATATATATATGTGTGTGTGTGCGTGTGTATCTAAATCTCTCGAAAAATGTCTCTATATATCTACATATGCTGATCGCCATGCCGCCATGGAGCGTCCAATAAATGTGGACCCTGATGTATCTCCGGAATGAAAACAATGCTGCTTAACCCAGGCACGCGTACTGCAGGTACTGCTGATGAGAAAGCTTGTGCCCACTCCACAGCGCATCCAGCCATCTGCCCTGCACTGTGTAGTCCTTGAACGCCTCGTAGGAGCTGGTGGCAACGAAATGGGTTCCTACCTGCACAGATCGCCCGGGTGAATTCCACCCAGCACTCAAGGCATGTCAGCCGAGGAAATGATCTGGTGGTGGGTCCAGACAATTAGATTAGATGTGATGCTGGCGACGAAACAATCTACATATGCCGCTTGCTGTCAATTCCTGTCTCTGCAAACGGCCATTTATCGCGAAGCAAAAAGTTTCTTTCGCGCATCCTTCGCGAACTGCATGTGTATCTTTCGCGCAACCCATGTTGAGCAATAACTCCGCTTATGAAGATTCAATCGGCACAGGCCAAATCACACCAAATTAGCACGGAAAAGTGCTTCATAGCCTTGCAAACATTGTGCTAGCATCACGGATCCCCTTCGCGAACAGGTTCTTGCTGCTGAGGAACTTTTTTTAGCAAGGCTTACTGGGCCACGCCCTTCAAAATGCCCTTTAACTTTACCTAGTCTTTTGCAGCACTTGCGTGCAACTGTCGTGCAAAGACTTGTCTCCGCAGACCACAGCCAGGAGCACGGGGGGGCGGCAAAGGCAAAGCAAACACCAGGTGCCTTGGTGTTTGGCTCTTGCAAAGTGTCCCTGTTCGAAGCTTGGCTGCTGCATTTCGCCGGTGGTTCTTGAGACTTCAGGAAAGCAACGTTAGGCAGGACCAGCGGCAGGTGCAAGGATGTGCTTGGCCACCATGGTATTTGGCTCTGGCGAAGCAGTGACAGCGGAAGATGGCTGCTACCTATGAAGGGAAAAGCCAATGTGCGGTCCCAGGGTCTTCCTGCCGGACCCCCGACAGCAGGGAGGCGGTGGTATAGCCCTTAACAAGCGGTTGGTTAACGTAGACAATGAGGATATGCATTTGCACCGTTCGCGACATTTCGACGAAGCAAAGGCAGTTTCTTGTTCGCAAAACAAACTTTCGCGGGGTCCCAGCACAAATGAAAAACGTGTTTGCAATTGAACTAGTTTATACGGGGACCTTCAGGATGGATTCACACATATATATGTTTATATGCAGAGATATATTTCGATATATCGATAGTGATAAATCTTGAATCAATGCGTACAAAGAAGAAGGATTGGCTATGCAAGACCAACCACGTAGATAGCGGTCCAATGAGTTCAGTTCATCCAAATCAGGCTCGTGGGTGCCCAGACCAAGGTGGCCTACAAAATGTTTGACTGCAAACACGATCTGCTTCAAAGCTGCCAGGTCTACTGATGATCAACTAGAAGCTACGTCATGCTGCTGCCACACTGATGGATTAGTGAACAAAGGTGGCCTACATGAACTGCAACTTTCAAACAGGAGATAGAATGTCGTTACAAGGTAACCCAACGGGATGCACCTTTGCAGCCCAAACGAAAAAAATGTCCTTGGTCTGCCGCATCTCGCCGCGTGCGCCCCGTGCCCGGACATGGGGGGAAGATTGGGGCCTGAATGCCCTTGAAACGGAGCGCCGTGCCATGATTTGCCAGTGCGACGGGGCGGGCGAATTCCAGGAGCAATGAATTCATGTAGACGGCCAGCATCTCTCCGAACGCAATTGATTCCATCGTGGCACTCCATTTTGCCGACCCACTCACACGTTTGACAAGTCCAAGTAAGGAAAACTCATCGAAATCGCCAGCTGCAGCTGCCGGGAATTGTAGGTTACCAACACTTGCTCGTGCTCGAAGACGAAAAGGGGGGCATCACCTGTGCAACAAAATGTGCAACAATGAAGTGGCTGCGACCTAGGACTCATGACTATACTCCTTCTAGTTCAGTCTCTCCCATCTGCATGCAAGGCTGAGGCTTGCCTACTGTCACTGATGCATGTCATGTCCATCCACTGCTCTAGGTCTCTTCCCCTCCGGAAAGCACCGTCCCGGATGCAGGGACAGAATGGCAACTACTTGCGGTCTGACCTGGTCCTGGGGCTGCTGCCATATCCACATCCTCTTGGGTCGATGCTGCTGCACCAGCTTCGTCTGCTGCTGCAACGCCCTGCAAAGCTGATTAGAAACAGTGTGAACCAGAAGGCCGTGCAAACCCAGCGAATGGTAGCACCAACCAGGACGGCTGAGCAAGTCGCAGCAGGGTGAGAAATGTGAAAAGTGACCCGAACAACGGGTCGCAGTCTTTAGCACCCGACAAACAGGTGAGGCACCTCATAGAGGTCAATGATGTCTCGCAGCTTCTGAGTGTCACTCGGAGACAAGGTGCAGTTCTCCAGGCGCTGTCGTTGCGCTGCAAAGTCGGCGCGAG